ATAAAATATAAAACTCATGCAAAATTGAAACAAGAAGAGAGAGAGAGAGAGAGAGAGAGAGAGAGAGAGATTGTGGGGGGTGACAGAGAGAGAGTGAGCACACATAGCTTCAAGCATGGCTTTTTCATGCAAGAAAACACCATTTGTGCTCACTCTCTTCTGTCACCTCCCCCTTACCCCCTTTTTGTTTTCTTTTTTTTAACACAATTTCATCAACCCTAATTTTCCTGCAGAAAACCCTACCTACAGCTTTAGTTGGTTGTACTGTTCCATTAGGGAAAAAGGTACAACACAACACAACACAGCTCTTGTTGATTCTTTTGATGTGTGGAGAAATTAAGGGGTGTGGTGGGCTTTATATAAGGCGAAAAAACACAAAGCTTTTTTCTTTTTCTTTTTTTTTTCTTTATTAAAATAATAACGGTTCAAGGCCCATCACCGGTGGGAATAAATGTGGATTTATCCTTTTATGGGCCTGCCCAAAATATTTTATTACCCCCCCCAAAAATAAAAGAGACCCGTATTTTTTTTGAGATTTCACACACACACCGTCACGCAGAGTGCGTGTGTTTTTCTATCTTCTTCTCGTGACTGTCACATCTATCTTATCTAATCCCCTAAATAATACTACTATAAACGGAGGCGGAGCCAGCCTCATCATTCACCGGAGTCAGCAATATTTTTTAGTAGGATCATTAACCTAGTAAACAGTGTTTGAACAGTATTTTATACTAAAAATTTTGAAATCTCAGCAGCAAGGTGCAGCTTCGCCCCTGACTATAAACAAGAAAATGCAATTAATTGGATCACATCCTTAAAGAAAAAAAAAAGAGTAAAAAAAAAATGTGTGTGAGGGAATTTTAAAATTATGATGATTTTGGATTTTGGATGTGTTTGTACATAAAAGAAACTCAATTCAAACTGAAATATTAATTCAATTTTAACTCAATTTTGCTATTATCAGTGTTATCAGTATAAATAAATAATATCAACCAAATTACACATTACATCAATTTTAATTTAGTATTCATCTGCTTTTACAATTTTAACGAACTATCACTTTACATAATCTCTCTTCTACTTTTTACATCAAAATAATTTTAATAATTTTATTTTAAATTATATTTTAATATAAAATTGAAATTTACTAACTAATCATATTATTTAAAAAAAATAACTCAATTTTTTTACTATATGATTTGACAATTATTAGACTTAGCATGTGCTTTAAGGTTTTTTTTTTCAAAACAACACCCCAAAAGGGTGGGAGGTGAAGGTCGAACTCCCAACATGTATATAAAAAGGCCCTAAGTGGACTGCAAAATCAGAAGTCCAACGTCTGATATACATCAAGTCAAACGAAAAACAAAAAACAAAAGAAAGAAAAGATTCAAGAAAAAGCTAACAATAGCAGCGAGTAACACAAAAATAACAGATCCTGGTCCGGGTAGAGTCGTCCCAGCGAAATGTCAGCATCTCGGGGGAGCAGATGCGCAAAAAATTAGAGCCGACTACACAAATCTGAATGAAGGGTATTCCATCTGGTCCATCCGAGTAAGGGTACAGAGGCCAGGAGGAATATCGTCAGAGTAGAGAATGCGGCTATGGGAGGTGGAGGACCTAATGCCAACAAGAAAGTCAGCATGTCAGTTTCCCTGCGAAAGATGTGCGAGATCCGAAAGCGAATCGACAGAAGTATGGCTCTATTACGTATGAGAGGATGATGTGCCACGTGCCCTGATGGTCAAATGTCAATAGAGTGATGAATAGCAGTAATAAGGGCACCGCTATGATCCCTAATCAGGCCCCCACCTCCTGCGACTGTAGTAAGTCGGTTAAAGGTTTCTTCGGTGTTTAGCTTAACTCAAGGCGACTCGGGTTTCAACCAAACAACAACTCTGGAGTGTGGATGTTGGACAGGCGGTAACGAAGGTGGTGCAAGCAATAAGGTAGCATGCAGTAGGGCTGCAAACGAGCCGAGCCGAGTCGAGCATTGGCCTTATCGAGCGGATTGAATTTTTTTTTGAGGTGCTCGAGCTCGAGCTCGATTTTTGCTGCTCGAGCTCGACTCGATCAAAACATACAAGAGCTCGAGCTCGACTCGAATTCATAATGCTCGAGCTCGGCTCGAGTTCGGCTCGAATTTTTTCAAGAAATTTTATAAAATAACTATTAATTACATATATATATAAGGGTATTTTAGTAATTTCACATATCTCGATCTGCTCGCGAGCCGCTCGACAATGCAATATATGAGCTCGAGCTCGACTCGAGTTCGTGCTCGAGCCACTCGAGCTCGACTCGAGATTGGTCAAACTCGAGCTTGACTCGAGATCGGTCAAACTCGAGCTCAACTCGAGATCGGTCAAATTCGAGCTCGAGTCGAGCTTTGACTCGAGCGCTCGCAAGCGGCTCGCGAGCTGCTTGACTCGTTTGCAGCCCTAGCGTGCCTATCCTGTCTCTCTGAGTGAGTTTTGACAAAAACAGTGATAAAAAAGAGATGTTAGCCAACCTGCAAATTAATATGGTAATACAAAAAAAGTTATCCATATACTTGGTATTATTTTTTTCTGTCCGGTTGTGTAGCATTTGCTTTAAAATTTTGATTAACATTTGTTCCAAATACAGACATACATGTTC